ACCTTCCCGACACGATCTGCGGAAGGTCAGAGTGGAGTCCAACTCATTTTTTATCTTGATCAGAGCATCAAGTACCATAGGCCCACATCTATAACAGAAAACAATGTCGGTGAACCTTTATAATTCCCCTCTGCCCCAATGCTGTCTCTCTGGCACCCCATTAAGAAGCACCCGTAAGGACTTTCATCTTAACTCCAACTAAAAATAATTTCTTTTTGGCTAATCCCACACAAGATACATATTGCTTGATCAGCAGTGTAGTGCATTAGCCTCAGCACACCAGCTCCAGGGTCAGGGTGGAAGAGAAGCAATTTCTTTTGCTCATGCCCTGAAGATCTGGCTCAGCTGTACAGGGTTCAGACAGCAGAACCGAGAACTCTCACCAAGTGCCTTGCTACCAGTTCTCTCCTTTTAAGTCAGGTTTTGACAAGCCTGCCTGTCATCATTAGTCACAACAGAGGCAATAACGCACACAAAAACAATCTCAGACAACTTATGTAATGTAATACATGGCAGACAAGGCAACACCCAGAAATTATTAAGCCGTGCAAGCCACAAAGCAGCAAAGCTTGAGCGCTCCATCACATGCTTCTTAAGCAGAGAGGTGTGTGCTTTGTATCTGAAGATCTCAGAATGGGCTTGAGGTGAATTCCTCTGGCAAGCGCACAGCAGTAACTGGAGCTCAAAGAAATCAAGGCATGTGTGCTCATGTGAAGGTTTCTATTCCGCACAAAAGACTGCAGCCTTCTGCAGAATTGTGGAAAAGCAAGAGCTTTCTTGGTGACGGCTACACCAAAGTGTGCAAGCAGTTACTATAAGTTTATTATGACCTGCAAACTATGAAAGTGATTTATTGTCAAGCAAACTATGAGAAGAGTTTATAAAGCCTCTATCCTGTCTCCCAGGTCTGGGACTGGGAGTTACACTTAAACCATGGTTCTCTTTCAGAACTTACCCCCAAATTCACCACATAAATAGAGCATATTAAAACTATGAACACGTTTGAGACTTCAGCACGAGTCAGGGACACAGGTAAAGCCTCACAGAAGTCACAAAATCAAGCTACCATTTTGCAGTGTTGGGAGACAGCTATTATGACATTTGCTGTCATGATACAGTTTTATTTGTCATGCTTTGGACCTATATAACCAACAGGTAGCTGAAATAACCCCATATGGTCAGAGCAAGATTTCTTTTACTAGCAAGTAACATTAGGTCGCACCGACACCAAGGACAAGCAGCTCTGTAACACGACTGAGGCACCACTTCAGTGATTGCTAAAGCCTTGTTAGAGTGGCCATGAAGCCCAATAAAAGCATTGACACCTTCAGCTGTTTGCTCAAATGCTTCTAAGCCTCCCTCTCCTATCGCTTGTTAGATAATCAGCGTGCACAAACAGTACCGACAAATCTGCCCGCCAGCTAAGCTAAAGAACCTTCTCTCTAAACAGATATACTCACTTATTCAAATCCACTTCATAAGTCTGCATGCGAGGCTTGTCCCCGGGCTTATCGGGATCCCACCTGTAGATTGCAAATTTCTTGATACGTGGTGCTGCTTGCGAAGCTGGGGCGGCTGCAGCTGCCGTCTGTGCTCCCCGACATATCTGCATTTAAACAGAAGTAAACAAGCCTTTAGATCCTTCCAGGTATCTTTCAACTGGGAAAGAAAATAACTAGATGCTATGTGCTTCAGGGCAAGAAATGCAGGTTCCATCACTGACTTTGCATTTGAGCTTCCGCAAATTCAGAACTATCCCCATCCTGAAGAAAAGGAAATGACTCTAGGGAGCATCACCCCTACCTACATCTATGTGAAGCTACCAACGCTCCTATGAAGGAAGGGATAACTGCAAAGCAAACTGTCACAAACATAAATACAACTTCATCTCCAATGCTTTTGTACATTGCAATAATGGACACAGCTCAGTAACAAGAGTCACTCCCAACTTGCAGGGTTAGCAAAAGGACTTGTACAGCTTTTTGAAAATCCTTCCAAGCCAAACAAGCATCACATTTCAAACAAGGATTTCATAAAGGTTGCTGCCTGGTTCTGACTCAGCCCACAGACCCAGGAGGGGCCTCCCTGCCACAGGAGCCCAGACTCCAAGGAGTGCACCAGGTATCCTCGTCAAGCTGCTGGGGCCACAGGAGCTGTGGCACGCACAACCCCCTCTGACCTGGGCTCCCTCTTCCCCCACGGAACAGGGAAGACAACCCTACAACTAAAGGGCAACCCCTGCCTGCTCCCGCCTCCGTGACCCTGGAGCCTCTCCCAGCCTCGTCACTGCCCCGCTCCAGGCCAACAAGCAACCCCTCTCAGCATTTCCCAACAGCTCCTTCCCTCTCTAAGCCACCTGCCCCCCCAAGCTTCCCCCTAGACTCCCTCACAGACCATCTTGCCCCTCTTATCTCCCAATCCCTTCCCAAACCCCTTCACAACCTCTCCCACACACCCCAGCCACCCTTCAATCCCCCCCTACCCGCCTCTCACACCCCCCCCACCACCCCTCCCCAC